AACTTTGAGTTAGGGCAACCTATAGACGTCACCCCCTGTGAATCTTTTTCCATCCATTCTACATTTGCTTCACAAAATTGCTAAGCTAATTTTTAGACATTTTATTGTTAGGATATTCAAGTGTGATGAGTCTTACATTGGTTGGTAATGGACTAAGTAAAGAATATATAAGTGGAAGGACCCATGAACTCAATGCCTTAAGGTTTTGGGTTGAAACATGGTGTCGGATCCACTTGCTACGCGGTTGGTGTAGCTTAGCTCATTGGTGGTGGCCCCCGCCACGGGCTTTCCCTGGACCCGCCTGACATTGGTATCAGAGCCGGGTTGGGCTCGAGCTAGCCTGGTGATTGGCTAGGAGACGGGTCGAGTACTTTGCGCTTTGGGTACTCGGTTGAGGGTGAAACCCAACATTGATATGCTCCCCCTCAACCGAGTACCCCAAGCGCAAAGTACTCGACCCGCCTCCTAGCCGAGCCAGGCTAGCTCGAGCGCCGACACTATATCTCAACCCAAAAGCTTATGGCATTGGGTTCATGGATCTTTCACTTATATACTCTTCACTTAGCTCATTACCAACTAATGTGGGACTCATCGCACTTGAATATCACTACGCTTCACAAAATTGCTAAGCTAATTTTTAGACATTTTCTCGATAAAGTAATTTTTATACGCATATCACTACGTCATTATTGTCTTTGTTATTTATATATTACTTATGACTATTATTAAAAAATTAAATTTAATACTTAATAGGTAAAACATAATATAAGTGTGCCCACTGGGCTAGTACGTAGCTAACTGACATACATTCAGATTCTGTAATACCGTATGTGACTGACCCTATTACGGATTAATTCTTATATGCAGCAGGCACGGGAATACCGATGGAGCTTTGCCCTGATGAGAATTATCGGATATAATATTATCATCGATTACGTCCAGAGTGATGGAATTGGGCGGTTCGACCCCGGGTTCAACAAGGGAAGAATAACACCAGGTTTACTATTTGGTTTGAGTTCTAAAATTTTTGACTTCTATTATAATTTTTAGATTTGTCAAGAAAATATAAATATATATTTGGAGTCTTGAGAATTTAAATATGAGTAGAGTGTCACATTGTATAAAAATGAACTAAAATATTTTAAATTAAGATGAATGGGTCATTGCTGGCAAAAAAATTAATATATTATATTTTAAATAAAAAATTACAAATTTATTATATTTTTGTAAATAATTACGCATTTATTACACAATGTCATGTCCAAATTGGACGTCACCAGTCACGCCTAAGTTAGGCGTCACTTATATGGTGTTTCCACGTGTCATAAAAAATTAACATTTTAACCGTAAAACTTCTAAAGGTCATATCTTTTGACTCGGGTATCCAAATCAGGTAATTCTTTTTTTGATTCCACATAACTTTTCAAGATCTACGCAATGACACCTGATTTGCTATATTTTATCTCTCACAAATATAATTTAAATTTACAACAATGAGACTTTATCTTGTAAGTCGTGGTCTGAAATTAATGATGGCACCAAAGTGGATTAATTCATTTATAAATAAGAATACTTAATGTCATAGTAAAATATATACATTCTAACAAATGTTTGAAAAAATATATAATGTATAATATTGTGAGAAAAGAAAGTGCCACAATATAAAAGTCTGAGAGAGATTGGTGAGAATATAAGTTCTTTGAGTTGCATTAAAAAATGCAAAACTTTTGATATATTGCATTAAAAATATGTTTTTATGCATTATTACAAACATATATAGCACCTCAAACCCTCTTATCAAGACATGTTTCATGAAAAGCCTGCAATTAGATGCCCCTTTGACATATTTCATCTTTGTGAATGATGTTATTTAAATTTTTACTTCCCAACATCAAGAAATAATTCTCCAAAAAAATTTGAGTGCGTAGATATCGAAAAGTTATGTGAAATAAAAAAAATCACCTGCTTTGGACTTCCAAGCCAAAAAAATTAAATAGGCTTCTTTGAATTTTTGAAGTACCACGATTTCAATTAATTAGATTTATTTTGAATTTATGAGGGATCACAAGTCAACTTTGTTTTACTGGATTAAAATAGGGGGTAGGATATTGTAACAACTAATTAGTTTAACTACCAAACAATTTTACTGTTAGATCGATTATGTGGATCTAACGGTTATACTTATTTCCATCTTTGTATGGTTATTATTCCCCATATTTAATGTGAAAGCATTATATATGGAAAATCATAATCATACAAAGGTGAAAATAAATATAAAGTATCAAATATGGGGAATCATAATCATACAAAGATGAAAATAAATATAACCATTGGATCAACATAATCGATCTAACGGTGAAATTGGTTGGTAGTAACACTAATTGGTTGTTACAATATTCTTTCCCTTAAAATGGACCCTGTGTTTCTTCTTAGAGGACGAAAAAAGGTATTTACTCTTTTTAAAAAGAAGATTGCGTTTGATGTTGGTTCCAAAATAACTCGGAGGCTTCTGTGTTTAAATGCTCTTATAGTACCATTGTTGTAAATTCGAATTGTGTTCGTGAGAGATAAAATATATCAAATGAGATCTCATTGCGTAGATCTCGAAAAGTTATGTGGAATAAAAAAAAATTACTTGGTTCGCATACACAAGTCAAAAGTTACGGCATTTAGAAGTTTTACGTTAATTTGTTAATTTTTTTTTATACGTGTCAACACCATATGAATGACGCCTAACTTAGGCGTGACTGGTAACGCCCAATCCGGGCGTGACACACTGCAATACACGCGTAAATAGTTTCAAAACAGCAATAAATTCGTAATTTTTTATTTAAAATACAATTAATTAATTTTTTTGCCGGTCATCGCTTAACCCATTACTTTGCAAAGTCTTCCTTATTTTTGGGCTGCGCTGTATGAAGAACTTTTTTTTTTTTTATAACAGTGGAGGGCAAAGCCCAAAGAAAAAACTATAAAGTGAGATGTTGCAAGTCAGAAACAACATGCTCCATCATCACTTTAGATCTAAAAAGGTAGAATACTAGGAGGGGAGAGGAAAGAAACAACAATTCCTCAACTTGGAGAGAAAAATCAGATTTGGTTAAACTGTCCGCACAAGCATTAAGATCTCTAGGAATGAATTCAGGATGAATGCAACCAAGCATTTGAGCAGCACTTTTGATTCGATTCACCAGATTTGCTTGTGAACGAAATAAATAAACATTTGGAATAATTCGGCTCGAATTAGTCGAGATCCAAAATAATTTTCATACATGTTGAGATATATAAAATCATTGATGTAGCTTCACCCAACAGCTTAAAGTTTTGAGTTGAATTGGCTCTTTACAATACATCTAGAGTTTAAAACAAAAAGAGGCTTATTAATCTTTTTTGAGTTCTAAAATAAAATAAAATAAAAACTCTACTGAGTTTTTTTTATGATTTCCACGACATGAAAAGATAAAATAGAATGCAGGGGAGGAGAGCATTTTTGGTATCACTGTTATATTGAGTGTTTAATGCGATAGTCATATTTAAACTATGTATTTTTGGGAATATATAGTATGAATATGGGTAAATGATTTCTACAGTCAATGGAGATAAGTTATTTCCGGTGAATTTAAAACGACGTCGTTTTGAGACAGAAATCAAGGTGTTTTTGTAGTTAAAATATATTACAGGATTATATTAGTCTTTATTATTATAATTTTTTAATCTTATAATCTCAAAACGACGTTGTTTTTAGCTCACTGAAGACAATTTCATCTCTGATGACTGGAGAGATACTTTTTCCTATAAATATTAAAAAAAAATCCTTTCTTCACATTAGCTGATAACAATTTTTAAAAAGATAAACAAAAAATAACTTTAATAATTACACGATATATTCTAAAGAATAGATTGTGCAAACATTCAACGACAGTAGTATACTGTATTTTTCCGTCGGGGAGACGAGGTTGCTTGACTCTTCAGGTTTTAAGTTGTCAACAGCTCTAAAGCACGGACACGCTCTTTGTTTCAAAATGTGCGTGTCCAACACGGAAATGTTCCGACACGAGGTCAATATTTTGGGACACGCGGTCAACGCTCCGACAGGCAATCAACTTTTTTTGACACGCGGTCAAAATTCTGACACGTTTTTTTTTTTACTTCTTAATTTTATTTTATTAACTAAAAATAAAAAAATAATTTATAAATCAATTTTTTTCTTTTATGAAATTTACATGAAAAATTAACAAAATATGAAAATTTATTTTTATTTATATTTATGTTATGAAATTTGAATATTTGATTGGTTATATGACTTATTATGGACTGTTATATGTATTAAATATAAATTATATTATATATATTAAAAATATTATTTAATATCAAAACGTGTCCCAACGTATCAGAATATGATTTTTTTTAAATTTACGTCTCAGCGTGTCGTATCGTATCATATCGTGTGTCCCGTTTCAGTGTCGATGCATCATAGGTTAACGGTCACCGACCCATATTACTACACGAACTACACTGAGACAAGAGTAAAGACCGCAGTCGTCGGGGTACCATTTTGTGCACCTTTGCCGAACTACCCACTAACAAACTCACTCTTCTAGATACGTGTCACCTTAATTGACCTAAGCTACCAAAAAACCCATTTCTAGTTTGACTTGTACCCACTTACGACCTTGTCAGGTAATAATCCAATTTAATAACCAGTAAAACGTAGAACAAGTGAACAAAGCCATTGAGAGCATGTCGACTTCTATGTATGAAAATGTTCGAGATTCTGATCTTTTCTGTTCCGTGTAATCATCACTATTCCTTAAGTCGTAATTTCAAGTCATACTTACCAACCTGTGTGGGAAGTTAACAGAAATGAATTGAAAATCGAAGCCGATAGATTGACTGTTATTAAACTTGAATCAAAGTTATATAAACCCCTGCAACTGGCATTGGTTACAAAACAACCAAATCAAACCAAACATACAAATTAATTAAACATGAAGAAGCAAATGGACGCCACTGGCAATCGTGTTTTGGCACAAGGAGTTATCTTCTTTGTGATTGTATCTCTGGCTGCGGGGAGCGAGGGCAGAAGCATCTTAGTTGGAGACACTGAAGGTTGGCGTGCGGGCACTAACTACACACAATGGGCAATACAAAATAGCCCCTTCCACATAAATGACACGCTGGGTCGGTATCAACATCAATATCAATTAACTAAACATACATATATATTCAATTTGTAATTTTCTTTTGATTGAAGCATTGATTTTGGCAAATGCAGTGTTCAAGTATCCCCCACCAGGAAATTCGACGGTTGCTCAGAGCGTTTACTTGCTACCAAACATGTGGAGCTACATGACCTGCGAGTTCGAGGGTGCAAAGCTGTTGGGGAACGCAGCTCAGGGTGCTGGTGAGGGCTTTAAGGTTGAACTCAATCAGTTAAGACCTTACTACTTTGCCTCTGCAGAAGTCAACGCCTATGACTGCATTGCTGGTCTTACCAAGTTCATCGCTGACCCATCTAAACCTTCCTCTTAGCCCAAATCCCTTGTGATTTCAATCTAACGTGATTGAATTAAAAATTTCAATAAACGGATCCCCCTCCCCCAGACAAACGTACTGATTGTACGGGTGTTATGTACCCTTGTCCTAGTCCTTTTTTATTTTTTTTCCCTTTCATGTAGCACCAAAAAAACAAAAACCCCTGCTTTGTTTGGTTTTTGTGCGATATAGATACGATGTTGTATTCTTATCTCTGTCAATAAAACTGCATTTGACGTGCATCAGTTTCAGTTGATGATGGCTGTCTAACTCAATTGTGTTCGGGGCCTTAATACTGAAAGACCATGAGAATACAAGCCTATTGTTGTACATGTGTGTTTGGGCTAACTAGCCATCCTTTTCAAAATGACACTGCAGACCCAATAAATTTGCAGTTTTCAGATTAAACATAATGAGAAATGCCATAACATGACATTCCCTGGGCTGGGGTTTCTTTTACAATTTTTTTGTCCATCACCTGCTCATAAATTTTCCAAGCGAGTGGAATAGTGTCTATTGGATGCTATGTTATTATTGTGTTGTGAGATGAAAGGTGTAACACCGCTCGATTATTTGACGTTTTTGGATGTAAGTCTTAAAAAAAAATTTATTTTCGGAATATAAAACTACAATGAAATTATATTTACAATCACAATTAAAATATAATTATATTCTAAACAAACCCTGGGATTTGAACTTGTGATTTAAAAAAATTACTCAAACTTCTTATCAGTAGTTCGCTCCTAATAAATTAACTTTAAATTTATCTGGTTAATAGTGACATAAAGTGTAAACATAGTCATTTTATTAACGCTTTATCAATGACCAAATGCCACTTTTACTGAATAAAATATGAGTAAACTATATGGATTGAAATCCATGTATTTAGGAAGCTAAACTAAAATTTGATGACTGTCTCAAGGTGCAAGTTAAACCAGCGGCCCCTACACCTGGGTATAGCTCGCTGCGTTTTAAATGCTATTATTATTACCAGTATGTCTATTTTAAGTGAAACCTTAGGGTCCATCATGAAACAATGAAACACCATTTCCAGAATAGAGAATATATGACCTTATACCTAACCTTTATAATTATAATTGGTATAAATGATAGTTTGAAACACGCAATTTAAGCGATTTACTTCTGTGACCGCGATAGATCTAGGAAACTAATTTAAAATTAAATAAATTAAATGATACATCATCTGACCACAAATATTATATTTATGTCTCTCCAATAAGATGATTATGTTACGAGAGATTAACATTTTTTTTTATGCCAATTGTCATTGTAATTAATATAAATCTCACTTATATGTAGATATGATTTTAACTGTAAATATTTTAATCAATTATACTGCCGTTATCGGCAAAAAAAAATTAAAATATTATTATTTAATAAATAATTATGAATATATAGCTATTTTGAAATTGTGTACTGATTTATTGTATTCATTCACGTTCAAATTAAGCGTGATCATTCACGCCTAAATCATTCACGCCTAAATTAGGCGTGGCTCTTAAGGCATTCACGCCTAATTTAAGCGTGACTCATCTGATGTTGACACGTGGCACAAAAAAGTCAACATACGAACCGTAAAACTTTAAAAAGCCATAATTTTTGACTCAGTTATCCAAATCAGGTAAAAAAAAAAAAATTGATTGCACAAATTTTTTTGAGATCTACGCAATGACACCTCATTTGACATATTTTGTCTCTCACAAACACAATTCAAATTTACAATAATGATGTTATAAGATCATTTACACCCAGAAGTCTCTGAGTTTTGAGTTTGTGATTTAATATAAAAATAAAATAAAGATTTGATTTGTGATTTAAATTAAAAAATAAAATTTTTAATTTTTAATATAAGAAATAAATAAAGATTTGATTTATGATTTAAATTAAAAAAATTATTATTAATAAGAAAAACAAAATAAAAATTTGAGTTGTGATTTAAACGCAAAAATCAATTTGAAAAAATCTGTACTAATAAAGAAAATAATTAAATAAATATTCTAAATCTGTACTAAGAAGGATTTGTTTTGTATAAGAGACGTTTCCAAACTTTAAAGTTTATGATTCGATTTGGTTTAGTTTTCTTTTCTTATATCCATTAGTCCCTTTTTATTTTTCTTTTAAATGTTTTTTTTTTCTTTCTCTTGGGCATACATAATTTAAATGGATTTAAAGAAAATAGTCCTAAAAAAATGATGTAACTTACGTTACGGTTCGATAAAATGGCTTTATAGCACCCTTGTTACAAATTTGAATTGTGTTTGTGAGAGATAAATATATCAAATGAGATGTCATTGTGTAGATCTTGAAAAGTTATGTGAAATCAAAAAAAGAATTATCTGATTCGGATACCCGAGTCAAAAGTTATGGTTATGAAATTTTTCGATTAAATTATTAACTTTTTATGCCACGTGTCAATACTAGACGAGTCACGCTTAATTTAGGCATGAATACTTTGGGAGTCACGTCTAATTTAGACGTGAATAATCACGCCCAATTTAAACGTGAATAAGTGCAATATATTCATAATTAGGTTCAAAACAATAACTTATTAATAATTATTTATTAAAAATAATATTTTAATTATTTTGCCCTATCTGTATTTCATGTTCTAGTTTAATACTTTAATGAATGGCCTTTTCTCAATGAATAAACAAAGGTAATTGACGAGTTTACAGTTGAGAAAATCAATTTACATATTAAAAGTCAAAGAAGGTTATATTTACAGACTTTTTATTTACAAACTCTTACAAATTACATTATGTTCTTTCGAAAAAAACACTAACTTACACTATATTTTTCTAAGAGTACATAGTATAATTTATAATAATTTATAAAAAAAATTTATAAAGGATTCTTGAAACTTAGACTAATTTTGGAAACGTATATTTTGCCCCAAATATAATTTGAAGAAAACAAGATTATACTCTTGCAAATGAGCTAGTATGAAATTATGCTTCAGACAGAAGAAGAAAGAAGGGATAGCGGTTTGGGCATCCAGTAAGGGAAAATAGTTAGTAACAGCACAAGAGTTTAATTGATTTATATCCGAAGCAGGGCAAAATCAAAGTTCTTAAAAAAAAAAAAAAAACACATGAAAACCATTATGATTGATTTCAATGAAAACCCGAGTTATCAGAAAAATTAGAAGACACATATTCCCTCACTTCCCTGGCAATCACATCTCTCATGATATCCCAAAACCCCGACGGCACATTCTGTCGGTGTTCAGCCTCAGCCTCAGTTACAGAACCATTGCTAATCCCCGGAGGAGCCAGAGTCAACGCGGTCAACGGGTCATCCTCCAACGGACCTGAAGAAGTGGCCATGGGTCCCTCTCCTTCGTTTGTAGTAACACTAACACTAACACTAACACCACCGGCTCGGCGCTTGAGGGTGGAATTCCAGTGGTTCTTTATAGCATTGTCGGTTCGACCCGGTAATAATCGGGCAATGGTGGCCCACCTGTTACCGTACTGGGCGTGAGCAGCTATGATGGTCTCGTCCTCTTGGGCCGAGAAGGGACGGTGCTCCACGGTTGGGCTCAGCTGGTTACACCACCGAAGCCTGCATGACTTGCCAGACCTCCCCTTTATGTAACGGCTGATCAAGGACCAGTTTCGGGGCCCGTATCGCTCGACTAGTCGGGTCAGAATCCGATCCTCTTCGGCACTCCACGGGCCTTTGATTCTGTCGGGTTTGTTGAGATTCGTTGGGTTCGACTCTGAAGAGGAAGAGTCGGATGATGACGTGGTTGAGGAGGAGCCTCTGTTCATTGCTTCCATATTCAGATTCAACAAACTGAGTGAGCTGGATACAGCCTTAGCCCTTAACGATTAGGTAATAGTAGTGAACGTAATAATGGACAAAGAGAGTGTTATTTGGCTTTTATATATATATATATATATATATATATTGAGAATGAGAGAGATGTTATGATATGTTATTTATTTAAAGGTGCATGCAGTATCGTATAATTAATGAGAAAAATGTTGAGACAATAAACGGGGTAAAGGTGCGGCCGTGTGGGGAGGGGTACTTCCACGAAAGTGGTATAGTTGTTGGTGGGTGTGGGATGGTCTATCTACAATGACTCTGCAGATCCGATTTGATATCCCTTTGTGAGAGCAAAGCTTTCTGGCTGGCACACTGATCACAGTTTGTCTTCCTTCCTTTCTTTGACCATTTTGTCCTCTTTGAAATTTCCTCAACATCTTCATTTCACATTAATTTATTATTTTTGGCTGCTCTTTGTTTTTGGAATTTCATTCCTTCCATATAATAATTAATATATATATATATGGATTCACGCTTTGTTATTATTGTATTTGTTTTGTAGTTATTTTTCCGTCATTTTCAACTTTCTACTTTAGCATCTTATAATTGATAACAATTAGACTGTTTTTGGGTATACTCAGGTTATAATAGAAAATATACTAATCAAGTTCACACATACTTGGTCCAAATAAATAAACCAAATTAAGAGCTGAGTATAGGATTGGGACCACATGCAACAGCTAGAGAATAGACAGTAATGTAATATATGTGGTGTTTGTATAGGGAAGAAGGTAGGGACATTAAGAGAAATAAATGAGAGTATAAATTATGAAATCATTCTCGTACAGAATAAGTAGGGTAGGGAATTTGAGACGGTAACCGGATATAGTATTATTAGGGGCAGAAGTAGCTAATAGACTTACTGTTGGGAGCGTTTAAAACATGACAGGGAAAGCCGAGCTGTTTAACACACAACAAACGTTTTTTTTTAAATGTTAATATAAAATAATTATAAAGGGAGCAAGTGGGGTCGAAAGTCTTTTTGACTACTTTAGTTTGCCGGACATGCATATACAGCTGTAATGTAAAAGTGAAACTCATCTACCTTATAACATCCAATTATCAAAAGGCAAAGGCAAGCAGTGGGAATGAGAGTGCTGTGCAGCAATCAGTTATTATGTTACGACTTATGAGGCCATAAACTGCAAAAACAAAACCTGAGTTATATGATATTTGAGAGAAAGCCATAAAATAAAGGAGCTTCAAAGATGACTTCAAAATCTTCCACGTAGGAAGGCCCCATTACCAGCCTGTAAGAATCTCACGTGATTCAAGTTGAATCCCTTTGACTTTTTTGGCTATAAATCTACAATTAGTATGGCCCCCACAATTTCTCTTAGACCGTGACCTCTCACTCAAGTCCAACGGAGCCACCCGGAATCCATCCACATACCTAGATTTCGTTAAAGATTTATATCATCCTACTATTAACAAGGAAAAAAATATATATAAATTTCATGACACAAGGACCTATAATAATTATCTATATGTCCATATTTGGTGGAAATTTGAGTGCAAGTTTAGCCAAAAATTAAGGTATGTTGTAGAGTTATATTAGTCTTTATCATTATAATTTTTTAATCTTATAATCTCAAAACGATGTTGTTTTGAGCTCATGGAAAATAACTTTATCTATGATGACTGTAGAAATATTTTTCCTAATATATAAATAAAAAAACTCATAAAAAAGTACATTAATATTTTGGATTGAGATGTGGTGTCGAATTAATCCACTTATTGTGAGTTATTACTTAGGTTCATTGATCCGTGAATGGAAGTTTCCCTTATTTTTTAGGTTTCCCCCAATCGCTATGTAATAGTGATATCAGAGTCAGGTTGAATTTGTGCTAGCCAAGTATTTACTAAAGGCAGGTTGAGTACTTAGTTCATGATACTTAGATAGGCTTCTGCTTGAGGGGGAATTGTTTTGAACTCAAGTGTCAATAGTGAAAGATGTATAAAGTTTTGGGTTTGAATGTGGTGTCAAATTTGATTGTTGTGGATTTGTCGCATATGAATATTGATGTATGAATGATAGTCTGTCCTATTTTTGGTTTTCCCTGACTGGGTGTAACAATGGTATCAAAGTCAACGGTTGATTGGCTAGTAAGTGTGGGTGACAAAATCTCATATCAAAAAGAAAAAGGTTAAGCATGAAACGCATAAGTGAAATGACCTATAAATTTAATGTCTTTAAGTTTAGGGTCAAGATGTGATATCGTTTTACAAATTAATTATATTAAAAAAAGTATTTTATCTTTTTAGCATGATGAGGTTATATTATTCAAAATATATATATATATAGGATCCTTTCACACCAGTGTCAAATTTTAAATTTGACACCTCATCTGAGAGCCGTTAGATCAAAAAAGATCAACGGTGTCAGATACTTACAAATCAGAGTCGTTGATCTTTTTTTATCTAACGGCTCTTGGATGTGTCAGATGCTTACTAATCAGAGTCGTTGACCTTTTTTGATCTAAACGGCTCTTGGATGAGGTGTTAAATTTGAAATTTGACACTGGTGTCAAAGAACCCTACCTCATATATATATAGGGCTTATCATTTCTCAAGCTGCTTGAGATAATTTTATCTTCGGCTACTAAATCATCACCGTACAAATATCGATCAATGGTGATAAAGAAAGAAAGAGAAAGGAATCATAATTATTCAAAAGAGAATCAATTAATATAAGGAAATAAATAAATAAAATGACGTAGTTTTGACGTAGCCGGAGATAAATATATCTCAAGCTGTTTGAGAAATATTTTTCTCATATGTATATATATATATATATATATAGAAAAACATTTCTCAAGCTGCTTGAGATAAGTTTATCTCCGGCCACTCCAAAACTACGTCGTTTTTTTTATTTTTTCCTTATACTAATTGATTTACCTTTGGATAGTTATGATTTTTTTTTTCTCTTTCTTTATCATCATTGATCGATCTTTGTACGGTGATGATTTAATAATCGGAGATAAAATTATCTCAAGCAGTTTGAGAAACGATAAGTCCATATATATATATATATATATATATATATTTCTCCACAGTTTATTGATTAATTGATTAATCTGATCAAGTTGGGTAAAACTTTAAGAATGACAAAATTTTATCTATCAAATTTTTAACACAGCTATATATTTAAAATTCAAACTCAAATTTATTTTTATTTGTTTGGTTTCATGGTATCAGTAGCGAATAGCGATGTACATTTTTTGTTATGTTAAAATTTAGTGGAAATTTTGAGTCTATTTATTTTAGCGTAATCGTTCTCAAATTTTGATAAAACTCAACACATTCAATGTTTATGATGAGAGAAAAACAAAATTTTAACATAAGATGGCACGGTAGTCCTCCACGTGGCTCAAGTAAATGATTTCTAGAGGTTTGTGGTTCCTAAAGAGCAGAAGCAGTTGGACAGTTGATACAAACAGCTGGCACCAAACTCTAACGCACCGACTAGCTTATATTATGGGGTTTGATTTTCTCATGTTAAATGAGAATTCAATTCTCATGTTGTAGAGATAAAAAGTATGTGGGACTCAGGTGTTAGAAAAAATTATATGTAGGACCCATGTCAGCACGAAAATCGAAGGGTATGCAGAAAAATTTGAATTCTCATATTAAATGAGAATTATAAAACCTTATATTATATAGTAGAAGGAAATGAATGATTTTTTTCAATTTAAAAATTAAATAAAAATAATAAATTTAATTAAAAATCTATCATTTTAATTATTAATTTTGATCGTTATCACCCTATTCAATTAATAAAATAATTAAATATTATGACATATTTTAATATAGATAAAATGTTTTATGTTTATCATGTAACATGATATAACATCACTTTCTTACACACACATTAAAGAGGTGGGGTTCACATATTTTTTTTTCTCTTTCATTATTCTACTTTCTCTCTCTATTTTTTGTGTGTATTGAAAACAACAGTTAAATCATGTAAATACTAATAAAATTCATAGATAAATAGACTTATATATTGTCCGCCTGAACTCTCATATAACAAAACATATTAAAGAAATAATATAAAACTATTAATTCGTCTTCACCGCCACCGACAAGATATAATTATAATAGTGCATAATATATGATACCGATAATATGATCGGAGAGTGCTGGGTTGTAAATGGAGTCAATTCGGGTAGGAGCCTAATAATTCTAATTCGTAGAGACTAGAGAGGTACAGAGGCAGTTGCAAAGTGGGGCCTAGAATTAAACATTGAATGCTTCGTGCAGATTATAATTCCTAGGAGAGGAGATTGGTTGCCATCAGTGGGTCCCTGAATGTCCCCCTTCCAACCCATTTGCCTGTCGAGTTGGCCCACTTCATTCCGCGTATGCTAACTGCTCAGGGAATGGTCAAAATGCTTTCTTATATTTGTTTTGTTGGTTTTTGAGATGGGTTTAATATTTCTTGTTTTGTAGATAAAATTAAGGAAAAAACTATTCTTACGTTATATGACATAAGTTTTTTTTCGTACACACTCTTCGATACTTGTGTTACTTTTTTTTTTTTTTTCAGGTGGTGGAGCTCACTAGTTTATCTCTATGACATGAAATAACTATCTTCTTTAACATGAGATTAATAAAATCCTAAAATTAATTTATATATTTATATATATGTGAGATAGATTTAGAGTCATATAAAAAAAATATAGAAGAAAAAAATATAAATCTCACGTACTTTTATACGTATATAAAAAATAAAATTATCTTGTATAAAATAAAAAATACTATATCCTCTTAAGACTATCAATGTTTTATTTTTTTGGAATGGTTTTTTTGTGTGTTACATTTTCACATAAAGTGTAAAAGAATTATATATATATATATATATATATATATATATATATATATATATATTTTAAAAATACCACTTATTTAATATATATCGAGAAAAAAGTAATAAAACAATTTATTTCCTCTC